CAGTGAGAATTGTCCTTCACAGGCTTCATGATGCAGGTAAACTCCAGATACAGACGAATCTGAACAATCTGAGCTGACACCTGAGTCCACTCAATAGAATCCATTTCCCCTGCAATTAGTATCTTACCAGTAGGAGGGCCAGTAACCTGTAGCACACAAGAGTACGTCGTTTTGTGTTTAGTCTAGTCGAAATAATAAAATAATTCCCAATATAGAGCACAGTCTATTTATCAAACTGTTGAGATCTATCAAGTCCTCGGATTATACCTTAACTCTTCTCTGGTTTTGGATTATTTTTGTTTATTTTGCTAGTGTGTGCATGTTTGCATGTATGAATATTCATGTGTGTGGGCACATAGGCCTGTGCATGAGTATGATGAAGGCTGGAAGTTGTCACTGGGTGGTTTCTTTGATCACTCTCCATCTTATACTTTGAGGCAGTCTCTCACCTGAATTCAGTTTGCAGTTTTGACTTTTAATTAGCCAGCTTGTTCAGAGGCTCCGCATCTCATCAACTGAGCTCTGAGATTTCAGGTGGACCCTCGTGTCCACTGACATTTACATGGATGCTGGTGATCTGAACTCTAATCTACACACAGCAAGTGCTTTGCCTCCCAAAGCTATCTCTCCAGCCTGTGTCATTGAGTTTAGTTCTGTAGAAGGCATTTGGTTGTTTCGGCTGTTGGGGTTTTTGTTGTTGTTGTTCATTTGACAATGTGGTTTTGGGCTTTTGGTTATTTTCCAATTTTGTTTTGAGCCTGGTTCTCATTATGTAGCCCAAGCTGGCCTCAGAGTGGTGATTGATCTTCCTGCCTCAGCCTTCCAAGTGCTAGGATTACAGGTATGTCACCTGACTTTCTGGAGAGAGGAAATTTGAATGACCCCTAACCTCTTAGTTAAACAGACAGTAGTCCTGCCCACCCCTCCTTTACCTAATTTCTCTTAAAATGAGGATATTAGAGGACCAAAGAAAAGTCCTCCACGTGTAAGAAGAAATCCATTTCTGGAATCATAAAAAAAGAAAAAGTCATACACAAGAAAAGATAAGCCATGACACGGCACGTGACATTGGCAATAACTAGAAGCTGAATGCAGGCACTCAAAGGATGAAGAACACAGACACATGAACATCACAGATGGAGATGACTCATCCCCCTTGGGAAGGGGCAGTTTCAGTCCAAGCTAGTCCTAGAACACTCTGTTCAGTGTTAGCAAGCTAGCCGATCTTGTGGATATTTGGGTCAGAACCCTTAGAACTGTGTCCTGTTGTCCTTTCCAGTTCACATCATCCCCATCACTGCTGGAGACCGGTTAGCCTCTAGGAGGACTTCCTCTAGAATGCAGGTGACTCTGGGCTTCTGGGCATCCTCGAATCATCGCAGTTATAGCACAGTGCATATTCCTACACCTAGAATCAAAACACTCCCACAGAAAGACTATCCCAGAGTAAGAACATCTGACCCAGTTACACCACTTCCCAGTGAAACATCTGGAGGGAAAACAAGAGAGTGAAGTCAAAGTTCTTTCCCCAATTAAAGCCACAATCAAACTGTACTTAATCAGACGAGTCAGAATTTGTGTGAGATATAAGTGTATGAGTGTGTGTGTATGTGTGTTCATGTGTATGACTGTGTGTGTGTTCATGTGTGTGTTCGTGTGTGTGTGTGTGTGTGTGTGTGTGTGTGTGTTAAGCTGACATTTACATAAATTCCTGTAAAACCAAAGCACAGAGAACAGAAGTGAGCCAGGGAATTAAGGTCTCTTGGAAAAAGTAAAAAAATATCACCCAGCAAGATTTCACTATGCACTGTTAAGTTTATATAAACTTGGTGGTGGGGTAAACCAAATAATTAAAATGGCTATGTAACCACCAGTCAATCATCTACATGGCTCAAGAGCCAAAAAACAAACATCTGCCTAACAGCATGTTAGACAGCAGTCTCCAAAACACCGCCAAAGCAACTCATTTAGACAAGCATTTAGAACAGAAGGACATTTTTGGTCTTTCTACCTGGGCTCTCCATACATGGATCTATAGTTTCCTGGGCATATAGGAACAATGCTGGATCATTCTTAAAATTCAGGTTTATCTTGGGTTTACTGTTATTGCTGCTGTTGGGGGGGGTTGTTTTGTTTGAGACAGGGTATGACTATATAGCCCTGTCTGGCTTGGAGCCAGCTATATAGACCAGCTGGCCTTGAACTCACAGAGATCCACCTCTTGAGTCCTGGACTTAAAGGAGTGCCCCACCTGACCAACTCTCATACCAGTCTTGATGTTTAAAGGTTTTAATATTTAGAATATTTATTTTCACAGACAATCCACTTGATCATAAGGCTGAAATGTTAAAATTTTAACTTTTCTTGTTATTTTTAATAAAATGCCCAAAACTCTTTTCTATAATTATTAAATTTAGGGGAAATAAGCAGTGAAGAAATCAATCAAATATATTGTGAGAAATCCAACCAACATTCTCTGGAGAGCTCTAAGCCATTTATGCATGTCTTCTAACCTGGCAGAAGTATCAACCCACGGATTAAAGAACACTTCTTGAAGTGTCTTGGAGGTCTCACCACAGAATCCACTTGACAAGGAAAATGGGCTGAACCATCTGTGTCTGGTGGTGCAATATTTAGGTTACACACAGAAACAGCAAAATCTCACCTGAAGCCTTTACCTAATATTTAGTATGCAGATGCAGCTCTTAGCTGACCAGGCTGGGAGCCATGTTTTAGATCTCTATGCGTAGAGTGTCAGGCCATCTTCACCATGCAATCTTAGCCTAAAGGTCAAGGGTGACCCATCACAGTTCTGCCAACCACCCATCACCACACTGGGCTCTAGTGACGCTGTTCACCTCCAGGCAAGTTTGTTGTGGTCAGTCTTCTTGTTGTTGTTGTTGTTTTACCGTTTGTTTTTTTTTGTTGTTGTTGTTGTTTGTTTGTTTTGTTCTGTTTGCACTGCCAATCACTGCTATACCTGCACAGGTATATTTGACTACCTCCTTCATTCTCAAAGTCTTTTATGCAGACGTATAATGTAAGTGTCTAAACTACATTTTTATTCCACATACCCCAGGTTCCCCAGAAAGGCTGAATGAAAATAAAATTTTCATTGATTACAGGCAGCCATGGAGGTCTTCAAATGCTTCACAATGTGGCTTGCTATGAACATTCATGTTCCAAGTACAGCCCCAAAGCAAGTTATGTTAGATTGTCGTTCAGGCTGTTCATCAGCATGCAGTGAGTGCCTCCCTCCCAGGCCAGGGTAGGATGGTGCGCCTGACCCTTCCAGTGAGCATGCCACTTGTTCTGGCAAATGAATGTGAGCAGAGGTGTCACTTCCTAACCTCTTTTCCATGTCCATTTCCTCGCCTGCCATGGTGATCAATGTGTGTGTGACTGTTCAGTCAGCCTCAGTCCTGAATAAAGAGGGCAATGCTGCCCATAAGAGATACAAGGTAAGCAAACAAACAAACAAAAAATGTTTCAAATTACTGAGCTTTTGGGGATTTTTTGTTATGGCAACATAATATCCCTGGCATTCTAGTCCTAGGTGCATTATTATTCTTTCCCAGAAAAAGAAGTGTTGGGACAAATGTTACTCTGATCCAAAACAGACAAAACGTGAAGTCTACTACATGATAGCATGCATATGATATTTGCAGATACATGGGTTACTGACAGGCACTTTTTAGAGCTGATTTTTCTCCAACCCTGCCCTAGTAAAACTGCTCAGCCCCATTAGATAATCTGCAATCCTCAAAATCTCATAGAAAAACAAAGTTCTTTGACTTGAACCCATTTGTCAAAATCGTTTGCGGGGTCACATTTCCAAGACCAAGCCCATTAATCAAATGGACTTCATTCTGAGGTACCAAACAAACTAACTAGCTGTTCTGCTCCTATGTCATTGAGGAGGGCCAGGCTGACCCAGGAAGGAGATGATTCAAACAAAAAGGGAAACATCCAAGCATAAACAACATTAAAGAAGGCTTAATGAGTCAAAAGGTGACACTGTGCCCCCTCCCTTCTGAGAGACGCAGCCCAAGCCCAGCATATGAACAATAAGAAAAATTTCAAATGCCCCGTGTCTGCTTGGTTTCCTTTATATAAAAACCTGAGAGGATATTTGGGTGGGGGGGGCCGTCTGGAATGCATATCTGAGCATTGTGTTCAAACAGGGACTCATAAATTTGATAACACATAGTATACCTACAGCCTGCACAGTCCTGCCGCCACCACCACCCCCATTTCATTTGAAACAGTGTGACTCTGCTTTTCTTCCTCGATACAAGAAAAGAATTGCTTGAGTTTCTTGTTTAAGTAAAGAGAAAAGTGTCGGTTTTCAATATGCTTTGAACTGGTGAGTCAGGGAGCTATGGATGATGTCATATGTTAGCCTGCAATCCCTGATCTGGTTCTCTGCTCTCAACTCAGTCCGGTCCCGTTTCCGTGGCAGACAGTACTCCCAGGTTCCATCCTTTCTTCTTTGGCTTCTTTCCAGCCACTGGCTAGCAGCCTGGCTAGCAGGGGATAAAGCAGGAAGTCTGACCGCTTTGGCCGGCTGCAGGACCCCTAGTGTTTTCCCACTGGGCGTCCTGGCCTGGTTCCCCAGAAGTACAAACACACGCACAGAGCCCCATTGTTGCCGCCTTCCCGGCCCACTGATCCTAATATGGAATGCAGCAGGAAAGCCACGATTTCCTGAAGCTCGGCAAGCTGGAGGAAGCGAGGGGGGAAACTCCGTTTAAAAGCCTTGCTTTCCTCCATGTTAGCTGTGTGCTGGAAAACCAGGCAGGAGTTGTCCAAATCCCACAGTGTCATCAGCCAGGCTGGTGATGGGAAGGGCAGAGTGAGACTCTCACAGGCTGCTGAGATTTCTAGACTGCCAGGAAGTCCCGGGAAGTCGGTGGAAACGAGAGCGCCTTAACTCCAGCCACTGGAGGACCTTTTACATCCCTCCTCCCAAGAGTTACCTTTCTTCTCTCCCAGCATGGTGAACTGCGGGGCTGGTGAGTGTCTAGGCTATGCCTGGGAGAGCCAGGCCAGCCGCAGTCAGGCCGCCTGAGCTCCAGCCCGGGGCCAGTCCCACCGCTACGTGCGCTGCAGAAGCCCCAGCAGCAGCAGCCACAGATAGAGAGAGCCACCAAAATGAGCTGCAAAGAAGGAACTGACAGCAGCTGCAGCTGCGGTGGGCGCGACGAGAACAGGATTCTCAAGTGCGTGGTGGTCGGGGATGGCGCCGTGGGGAAGACCTGCCTGCTGATGAGCTACGCCAACGACGCCTTTCCGGAGGAATACGTACCCACTGTGTTTGACCACTATGCAGGTAGGAAAAAGTGGGGGCCAACTTCATCTAGTTGAGCAGTGGGGATGGGGGCCCAGCCCAGGTTCAGAGGCGCCTGGCTCACTCAGAAAGTAAGAGCCAGATGTGGGCCTGGCAGGTACCATGTTAATTCAAGCCAAGACCTACCGGTGCTAGGATCGTGGCGAGAACATGTGTATCAATTTACATGGTACCGCCTTCCCACCTTGAACAAAAGTGTAACCCTGGAAAATATCCTCCAGACCTCGGGGCCAGAAGTTTTTCTCAACATTTTTGCCTAAACTTTCCTGAACTTTTCACGATGATGTTCTTTTTTAAAGTGTAGTGTAATTGCATAAATTTCCATTAAAAAAAAAAAAAACAGCACTAAACACGTGGGAAGAATGCATTACTCCTTCAAGCTAGTCATAAACGAAAATGCTAAGAAAACCAGCCAATAAAACATTCTCTCTTTTTCTGGGTTACTGGGGACTTAAATTTTGTCTTTCTCCCTTCTGAGGTGGTAGATGAGGAGGAAAGTGTCCCGAGCTTTTTTAATATTGAGTGGGAAGTTAAGTAAAAGACAGCTATGTTTTTAAAAATAAAAATTCAAATGCAAATAAAATCATTGTCCAGCATGTCCTGAAAAGACAAACTTGAGTATGAACTATTTTAAACCACGTTCCGATGCTGTCGTCACAACTTAATTCTTTCAGGGGACTTTCAGTTTTTGAGTGTTTGAAAACTTGTGCAAGTTCAGTCAGCATCCTGACTGTTTCCCATGTTGTCTGTGACCTGTAAGCTTCCCCTAAGGGAACTAATGTGTTTCTCTCAGCTCGGGTTTATGACGTTTTTGGAACACAGCAATCACCAGTGAGTTACCAGGGATCTGGGGTCTGATGGGAGGAAAATTCCTCTTTCTAGGCCATGGCTTGGGATCAGATCAGTTTGAAGGAAGTGGCCCACAGGAAGCCAGCCTGAGTCTCTGGTCTATGGCCATTTGAAATCCTCCCTCTGTAGGAAGTAGCTGCTTCTCTGATTCTCTGTCTGGAGTTCCATACTCATCCCCATCTTCCCTTCCTTTTAAGTGTGCATATTTGCAATAGTGGTACAGTAGAGAGATTTGATGCTGGGGAGGAGGCCCATTTCCTAACTGTGTGTGTGTGTGTGTGTGTGTGTGTGTGTGTGTAGAAATTGCCTGCACATTTTAACAGCTTTTCTGAAAATATACTGAGAAAAGCCAGTAAAGAACTTTTTAATGAGAATTGAGCAAAGATAAAAACAGACTTATATCTAGGTGGGGTGAGCCTATTACAGTCCTGTTGGTAAGAAAGACAAGGCCATCTTTGGAAATGAAGTTAGCCTATTAAGAAAAAACAGCTAGAGTTTGCTGGTGTCCAGTTATTTTATATTCCTATTATAAGCACAATGACTGGGGTTTAAGCACCAAAACCTCTCCAAGAAGTTTTACTGTTTGGGTTTTCATGAACTAAATTGTGTTGTTTTAGTTCCTGAGGAATCGCGGGCCCCTAAACACAAACCAGTTGTTTCACACAGCAGGCATTCCTGAACACTTCTGTTTGCACTACATACTTCTTTCATATGTGATCGCCTTGTGTGCTGTCCCTGTGGTTACAGGGGAAGGAAAGGCATGAGCCACACTCACACCAGAGACTAGGGAAGTGTTGATTTCCATCCCAAAGACTCCGCCCCTGCTCTTCCTGCACAGGCTGCTCATCAGCCCATAGGTGGTGGCCATCAGGGAGCAAACTAATTCTAAAATAAGCAAAGGCCTCTTCCTCATCTGGATCCAGTTATCAGTTCCCTGGGTCCCACTCTGATATGACAACAGGAAACACAGCTGCTGTGTCTTTAGAAAAGTGGCCTTGAAGTCAGAAACGGCTTGTCTCTTGAAGATGACTCACTAATGATGCTCCATCCAGGAGAGTATGTATGTCATAGTAAGGACAGTGTGCAGCAATACCACATGATCCACTTCTAATACCGTCTTTTCCATTTGCTCTGTGGCCTTGAGAAAGTTGCATAACCTCTCTGTGCCTCTATTCATAATGGTAATAACAGGGACAATAAAGACATTTCGGTCATTTTAAAAAAGCAAAATGAATTCATATGTGTAAAGTTCTTAGTGCCCGACATACAACGTGGGCTCAGGTATCACATCACAGTCTGAATGCAGATGTTATTAAAAGGTACAAACTACAACGGAGGTGGGGTGTAATTTCAAGAATATGCTGTACTAAAAGGACAAGGCGGGATAGAGTGTACATATTACTATCCTTTTAAAATAGCTGCCATGGAGCTGAAAGCTGACAGCCCTGGCCACTGTAGGAAATGGGATGTTAATGTAAGTGGTAAAATACCAGACTTCCATAGGTAATGGCCGAAGAAAGAAAAGGCTGGGGGAAAAGTTGAAGTTTTATTACTCCTAAATATATTTATCCGTCCTTCCAAACTACCAGCATCCCAAAGTACACCAACTCCATGTGGCTTTTCTGAGAATTCCTTGATCTGTGTCCAGTCCACTTCTCAAAATGTGTTTACATTTCTAGGGCACAGCCTGCACCATCCTGACGAGATTTATGGGTTTCCTCACTGCCACCCCACCCCGCTCTGAGCTCTGACTCTCCTTAAAGGAAGGTCATCCCTCACCACATCCCCCTGGTGTCTTGTTCTGAAGCTTTGATGGTTAGTGACTCTCCTTAAAACACACTCTTAGCTTGGTGTCTGGAACGCCTCCTCCCTCACCCCTGAAACTCTCCACCTCCTCTGAGTCTCCTTCATCCGCCAGGGGCTGAGTGGTAACATAGTTCGGTGGTCAGTCCCTTGGTTCCCTTCTCTAGCTAGCCTCAGGATCCAGGTGTTAGTATCTAGTTTCACAGCTGAAGACATCACTGATATACTACCAATTTCATATTTATATCTGCCCCACCAAGCCACAGAACACTCATCTTCACAGCTACCTCACTGCGCCTATGTATCTAATAGGCATCTCCAGCCAATGTTCCCATCTGCTCTTCCAGCTCCCTTCTCCACATAAGAGCACCTCGGTTCCTTCTGCACAGTGACTGACAGCAAACACCAGTGTCACCTGTGATTCCTTTCTTCCTTTGACAGCATCCTCCTCCCTCTCCATTCAACCATCAGCTCTTATCCCTTGTCCCTACAAGTGAGCCCAGCCTTCACAATGCACCAAGAACCAAACCTCGCCACTTGCCATCACAGTTTATTGCCTTTTCTGCTATCCACACCACCACCATCTCTCATCCACAGTACTATGATGGCCTCCCAACCACCCTCTGCTTTACAACCTGTCCCCTGTGTGTCTCCACCTAGCTGGTGGGAAACCATCCACAATCCCAGCCCCTCAGTCTCTTCCCTCCACACACATACTCCTCCTTTGCCATACTGTAGTATATAAAGTGCTTTGTGACTTTGTCCATTTTCCCTCTTCTCATCTTCTAAACCCTGTTCTCAGTATTTCTGCTGTAGCTATGGTTTCCTTCTTACTGTTTCTTATGCAAGACTCCTTGAATGTTTGGCATTCACTCTTACCCCGGCCTGACACCCCGCCCCAGACCTAACCTAGCACTGATTGATCACATAATTTAATCCATGTGTCTGTGCCTGTGTGTTAACACACACACACACACACACACACACACACACACACACACACACACGTGTCTCTGACCTCTTATTCTGTTATACCTTCCTTTGCCATATTTAACACCACACACCATTGTGTGTTTACTGGCTATTGCCTTAGTTAGGGTTTCTACTGCTGTGAAGAGACACCATGACCACAGCAACTCTTATAAGAGAAAAACATTTAATTGGGGTGGCTTACATTTTCAGAGGTTTGGTTCATTGTCATCATGGCGTGGCATGGTGGTGTGCAGGCAGACTTGGTGCTAGAGAGGTAGCTGAGAGTTCTACACCTTGTGCAGGCAACAGGAAGTAGTCTCAGGTTCTGAGCAGTGTCTTGAGCATATGAGACCTCAAGGTCACAATGATGCACTTCCTCCAACAAGGCCACACCTCCTAATAGTGCCAGTCCCTTTCAGGACCATTTTCTTTCATGCCACCACAGTTGTCTTCAATTTCTCAAAGTAGAGCCTGGCACATAGTTGACTGCTGGTAGGTAAACATTGAGTGAACTAATTCTAAGCATGCATCATCTTGGTCTCTCCAGCATTCAAGTCATCTCTAGTCCTATTTGGTGAATAGAGCTAAAGGCATGAAAAGCCTTGCCTCACATACACAAGCCCTAGTTTTGATCCCAAATATTGGAAAAAAATAAAATTCTCTAACAAATATATAAAGAATTTGCTGGTCCAATATTTATTTCTTTAAGAATGAACATATAAAACTATTTGTTAGGTGTATTCTATCTTTTGGTGTTTTGGGGGTTTTTGTTTTGTTTTGTTTTATATTTTAGATAACTCCTACAGCTATAATACAATAATAATTACCTTGACATTAGTGGACAGTATGACAACTACCAAAGAGTGTCATCCTACAGTGTAAATGTCACTTGATTTCCTCCATCTGAATTACACTCAAAAGCTAGGCTAAATTTGGTGTAGCCCACTCAAACAGTTGTACTTTTTACAAGAACAAGTTCAAGAAGAATTCAAGTTCCACTGAGGGTTAGCACCCTGAGGATAAATAGAAAGGGCAAGTGGTGTCTGCTATGAGGCTGCCTGATAAAAAAAACCTCTGGGCCCTGCATCCTAAGCCATCCAAGCATGTCTTATAGCCTCTGCACTGTTGAGCTTAGCATACAACAACAACACATCTTTCCACTCTTCAGTTCTGTGACCAACCCCTTACTGATTAAAATACTCCCATCCATTGACATTTCACACGGCATATGGCATCAGAGTAAGACCCTTCGTCTGAGTTTGGTTGGATTGTGTGCCAAGTTAGGAAATGTATGTGGTTTATATGATAAGGTATGTGGGTGTATAAAATAAGCAGACTCCAGTTGAAACATGTCTCCG